TGTGTCGCAATGCTCCCTAAATGTCATGTATAGGTTCGACAATAACTACCTCAAAACCCGTCCTGGAAGGCCTGTGGACGGGATGTTTTTGTAGCATAACATGAATCGCGATTCGGCCTCTCCGAGCGCTGAAACTCGAGGATTGGTTGCATGTTTAATCGCGAAGGACGACCCTCTGCGCGGATTCGGCCTCTCCTCTTGTTTGTTCCTGGCGCTCTCCTGTGGTCTCCTGGCTGTCTTCTCGTGGTCTCCTGCTGGGGCCTTTGGGGATTTCCTGGTGGTCTCCTGCGCGCCTCGTTGTGGTCTCCTGCTGGTCTCCAGGTGTTCTCTTGGTGATCTCATGTGGTGTCCTGCTAGTGGCCTTTCGCTGTTTGAGGTCTACTCTGGCATGATTAGTGTCATCATTATTGCTATTCTTACTGTAGTTATTACTCTGACTCTGACCCCAACGAGGCGGCAAAAACGCAGCCCCAAGCTGCTTGCTCTTGCAGTCCAGGTGCCAAGCCCTAACCTGAGCATGCATGAGGATCTTGACACTAAAGGTGCATGGGGGATTTGTATATCAAGTTTCGAAGCAGTTCAACCACGTCCTAGTAAGCACAAAGCGTGGAACCTTTTAAGTTCCAAACCTTACACCCAACAAAACTAAACCACCACTATCACAACCCCAAATCTTAACAAAAAACCCTGCAACAAGCTATGGCGAAAATATTCCCGAGCGGCCTAAACAACCTACACCCTAAACAATGCCCGAGCAACTTGAAGGATAACACATCAATAGCGAACTTCTCGAGCGCAATGCACAATGTCGCTGTGGTCGAAAGACATGGTGTCTTCTTCCCTTCGTCTTTGCTCAGGCCGCCGGCGGCCTGAAAACAAAAACAAGCCGACACTGTATGATCTCAATGAAATATAGTCAAGCCATTGTTGCGGCTGTTACTATCGCTGTGACTATCATGAAACCGCTGTTGTTTTGATATTGTCGCAATCCTATCATTATGATTATTATTATGTTTGTTTCTTTTTTCTTCTTTAAGATCGACCCCGCTGCAGTGATGAACAACTTTTGGGAACCCCGGATGATTGTCTCTCCTGAGTCAAGTAAGTAGCCCTGCAGCTAACTGGCAGGCATGACCCCTGGAAACCACAACCCCAACCCTAAACCCAACAATTTACTGCGGAATTGATCGGCGTGCCCGGACCGGAGAATCTTGAGCCAAGCCAAAATGACTAACTCCAGAGCCTTGTTTTAATCGATGCTCTGACAGAAGCCTACCCAGGACGGTGAACTCCAAAGTTCCTGCAGTCGCCTGTGTCTCCAAGCCAAAGGATAGTTATGTCTAGTTAGGGGAACTTTGGGGCGTCTCCTCCATGACTTCGTGGGAAGAGAGTTTTTTTGTGCGTGACTGAGTCTGCGAATTACACGGGACTTCCTCAGAATCTGTTGCATCACTCAACAACATACAGACGAGCTCGCTTTCCAGGTGTTCGGGATCCCGGCTCGCCCTTGTTCTTTATTGAGCCCGCCACCCGCCTCCCGACCGCGCCCCCAACATGAGCACGCGCATTCGCGACATGAACATACGCGCGGACACACCTGATATGTGACATGCGACACACTGCCGCGTTTGAGCCGTTGAGTCATCATTCTCGACCACCTGTCACTTCAAGTCGAGGGCCTATGCCTCTCTGGGGCGTTTGTAGCGGGAGTCCGGGGCTTGGGCGCGCGAAGGTGAACCAAAGGACCGAAACCTCGCTGTGTTCGAGGCTTCGGGTAGGGGAGTGTGGCGGTTGGGATGCGAGCTTTTCATTTCCCGCCGAACCCAGCTGACGCTCACGAGGCTGGGCCTTTTGGGGTGCCCCTGTTTTTTGTCGATTTTCTGCGCGAAAAACAGCAAAACGAGGGCACCCCCTCACAGGCGCGAGCATCATGAGCATCAGCTCGTGTTTGTCCGGGACAGGAACAAAGCATCATGAGCATCATGTGAGTTAGGCGTGGGTGAAATGAGGATTCCAGAACCCTAAGAAACCCGGTCACTGGGCCAACTTGGGTTTAGGGTTTAGCATACCCCAAACAGCACCCAACCTCCCACCCTGAACTCCCAGAAGCCCCATCCACCTGTACCCTACCTGGGTCCAGTCAGGGTATGTTTGATGAACAAAAATTGCAGTAAGTACCCACCCCACCACTCCACCCCCACCCAGCCCAACCGTTTCCCCAAAGCCCGTGAAACGCAAGCCTTGGAACCGTAAGCCTCTACACGGTTTAGGTTTCTTTGGGAGTTAGAGCTCACATGGCCTTTAGACATTAAAGCCCATGTCCACTGCCCAGGCCCATTTCATGAAGCACCAAAATTGCGCGAGCCAGGCCAAGACCAGGCCGAGCCAAGCCAAGCTTCAGGGAAAAAGCCCGGGCCTTCTTGAAAGACCACCTCCCGGGCATAAACATGCCTCCCTAAAAAAGGAGATTTACTTGGGGCCAGGGTTTTCTTCTCGAGGGTTGGAGGGGCTTCACGCATTATTGGGGCGAGAGGGGGTACTGTCAAATCTAGCACCCGTAGCATTGTCATTTGGAGCAGCGCTAACATCATTATGACTATTCATATTGTGACTATGAAACCTAAGCCCTACCTAATCCGCAAACCTCCTTTAGCACCATTGACTTCCCCAACACATTGACCTTCTTGAAGAAGCCGAAAACGTTGGTCTTCCGGCCAAGAACCTTCTCGGAATCCTTCAGATCCTTCTCCTTCACTTGGGTCCAGGCGCTGGGGCTTACGCGTTTGGGGTTTAGAGTTCCAGTTTGGGGTGAAAGGTTTTGGGTTTGCCGGTTTGAGTGTTTCGGCAAGTGCACATTCCCTGAGCGAAGATCGTCTCTGATAAGGACCCCAACTTGAGTACAACTCTTAATCATGATTGTTTTGAAACCGACATAAGAAAGAAACAATCGTACCAGCCGTGATGGCAGTAGTAATACTGGGAATGACAGTCTACTAGGAATGACAGTAATAACCATCATGATGATACTATCAACTAGGAACAAGGAATACTAGCAATACCAGCAATATTGGTCGAAACAATATCATTGTGAGTGGAGTCTCGGTTCGCGAGTAGTACATGTCAGTCTACCCTTTAGCACGAAACGTGTTGCCATGCACCAAGACCCGTGATGTTGGAGGATTTTGAGGTTGTGGCACTGTTTGGGTCTACGCAGGCATAAGAAGACGAAGCAACAGAATCAACTTGCACCAGATCTCTGGAATCATGAGTTTTTGGGCCTGTGCTTTCTTAGGAAATGAAGGCTCCACAGAAGCTCAAGATGTTGAGCACAAGGCATGCTTGATGTTGTACACCCAAGCACTGAACCCGAAAACCAAAGCCTTGAACTGTTTGTCCCAGGCTCCGACAACGACGCCGGGTAGGGGAATGAGAGGCAATGACCATTCCTGGGCTGCTTTTGGAGATGTGTCAGTCTTTTTTTTGAGGATGATCGTGATAAGAGCACACAAAAAATCAAGAACAGTTTCTCAAAAAAGCGGCCCAGGTTCATGCAGACGTCGAGTTTCGCACTTTTCAGCCAGTCGGCAGTCGGCCCGCATGGCCCAATGGTCCATACCCCCTGGCTACAAATGGCGACACAATCTTTGAGGGCGGGTTGTTGAGTGCAAGGGGGGGTAATTCGACGTTTCGTTTAATGTTCGGGATTGTGACTTAGGACTTAGGGAGACTTGATGCATTTATAGAGCTCTGAGAGAGACTATACCATAGCGTAACATGCTAGTATGCCCTTCCGAAATACTGATGAATGTTCGATGCCAGCCTGAATTCTATCTTAATGAGAATGAAGCGTCTCTTCCGAAGAAAACCCAAAGCTTTTCTGTTATCCCTGATGGCCCCAGTTGAGGGACGTAGGATGCGGACCCAGGCACGGCACCCGACTGAGCCAGCTGGACAGAACTGTTGTCCGAACCCACAGGGGCCACAGCTGGCTGGTCCGCGCGTCGCCTCGGAGAACGGGTGTCTTGCTGTGCGGTCGGAGCTGACATAGGGCTCTTTGCAACGGGGAATGGGTTGGGCTGTCTTTTCGTGATACTCGCTAGTACCTCTGGTGTTGCATGGAAATCCGCGAAGCCTCCGGCAGAAAAGCGTTTCATGACCTGCGCTGTTTCGGACCCGTCCGAGGCGGCGCGTGCGAGCGTTAATATCAAATTATAGGGCAAAGAGCTTGCTTGAACGGAGCGAAATTCGTTCAAATGTCGTTTGCCTCGGTTGTTGTTTGGACATGTTTGGACGGCATGGGTAGAGGACGGTTGCGCAGACTCCGTACTGCACGCGGGCTTCGACATGGGCCCCCACGCATGACACGAACTGGCTCGCTGACAGATGCAGGTGCTCAGGGCGGCTGTCGCGCAGCGGCCGGAAGACCAACTCGCAGAGAGGCTCGCTCAGAAGAGTCTTGGCAGGCTGGGCGAGTCCAAGAACCAAGGGGTTGAACCGGGACTGGAAGTGGGAAATGCCCACTGGTGGGCAAAGTCAAGCCAAAAAGAGTTCCGCCAAAGCGCCTGCACTTCTGCAAGCTTCTGCCAAGGCTGTTCCTTCGGAATGGGACTCAGAGCCCAAGCTGTGCACGCCAGGGTCCTTAAAGAAGGCAACAACCACCACCATGACCACCACTAACACCAACAACGCTCACGCCGATGCAAGTACTGCTAGTACTGAGACTAGTACGAAGACTAGTGCTATTACGAATGAATAGTTATACAAATACAATACTGATACTGATACGAATACTAGTGATACTGCTCATGAATAGTTATGCTAATACCACTATTAATGCTGAGAGGACTGCTAATACTGTATGGCACTCGTAAATACTAATACTCAAAAACTACGTCAAGTACTAACGCCTCCTGGCACATTTTAAGGCCCAATTGCTTGGAACCCTGGAGTAAGTCCAAGAACATAAAGACTCAGTCCTCAATACTCAAGAACCAGTACTTTATACTCAATACTCGTAGTCAATACACAATACTCACTCCAGCAATTGCCCAGCATTTTGTACTCAATACTCAGTAGCCGATATTCAATTCTCCATACTCAATACCCGATACTCACCACCCAATACTCATTACTGAGTCCTCAATACTCAATACCAACACTACTCACAAGCTGCTCAACTTTCATTCTTCTTTACTCAATATGTTATATTTGCGACTCACTACTCAGTACTCAATCCAGGGACCGGGACCAGTCTTGAAGCTAAAAAGCCGCAAGCCTCTGGTGGGTCACTGGGCCACCAGCAACACCTGTTAAGCCAACGCCCTGTCAGGACCTTCCCACCAGATCTCACACAGGAGGTTGGTGTGCCAGTCGCTGCCGGCACAGGCTGCTAGTTGCGACGGCTCGGTGGCAGTGCTGTGTTCCGGTACCGCTCTAAAGAGACAGAATTTAGAGGTTAAGTTCACGCCAATGATCCAGCATCATTGGACCATGGAGACGCCGGTCTGTCGTGCCTTTTTGGGCTGGCGTGACCAGTCAGCATCACCCCATTTTGTCACCCCCTGAACCTTCTGCGTCGAGCGTGCCGCTCCTCGCTTTACAGATTTTTCCTGCGTTGCCATTCTTCAGATTATTGTTCTACTTGTTGTTATGATTGTGCTGATAATTTTTCAGAATATTCTTCTTAGTTTTGATTGGCTTTTGCAAAAGCTCTTGATACCGGACTGGGGCAAGGTCGGCCCGTGCCAGTAAGTCCTAGACAAATATAGCAGGTGTCTTACTTGGGATTAAATTCCAGATATGTGCCGAGATGCTGCATGACCTCGTGGAATGGCTCAAATTGGCGCTGGATCCATTTTGAATGCTGCTCAATAGCATCCTTGTGCTGCAAGTGGCATAGAACCTTGGCGGTCGTTCGGTGCACAAATACCTCTCTGGCCCGCCGCTCTGTTTGGCGGTATGAGACCGACCCTGTCTCTGACACTTTGGTCCTTTGGAAGGGCCTTTTGGTTGTGAGCAAAAGACGGCCCCCTTAAGATCTACTCTCTCTCGCTCTCTCGCTCTCTCGCTCTCTCTCTCTCTCTCTCTCTCTCTCTCTCTCTGCACGCTTAGCCCCCCCCACCCCCGAAGGGAGAGCTCCCCCTAGGGGCTCTCTCTCTCTCTCCCTCTTTCTTTCTTTCTTGGAGGCAAGGGGGCAAGCCCCGGGCGCACGCGCCCGCACCGGTATTCTCTCTCCCTCTCTCTCTCTCTCTCTCTCTCTCTCTCTCTCTCTCTCTCTCTCTCTCTCTCTCTCTCTCGCACACACACACACACACACACTCACACGCACCCTGACCCCATGTGCGATTGCGAAGGGCCTGATTCCCGACAACATGACGGCTGGGGATATTTCGGGACAAGCGGGTCGGATCCCTTGAAGATAGAGCTGCCTGAGGGTGCAAAACCGGGACGGTTTCATGCGCGTGCTGGCAAAGCCCTGGGGGTTTAGGTTAGTTCTCTACCTTTGTACCTGGGACGTGTCTGAGGGGCTGTCAAAAAATCGCGCCCCGTTGCCAAGCCTTACGTTGGCTCAACTGCAGCACGGTCTTTGTGGCTCGTGGTCTTCGGGCTCTTCCTGAAGGCTCGTGAAACCCTGATGCCATCCATCCTTCTCACAACTGCCGGAATCCGAAGCTCGAGCTGCAGCATGAATGCTATCCGCGCTGCGTCGTAATATTTAACGACTCAGGTGTGACTTTGGTAATCTTGCATCTGCAGCAAGCCTAGAAGATGAACCAAGTTGACAACTGTACTAAAGCTCAAAGTTCATTCTCGTATAAACCCACATATTCCTACGATCCCTTAACCCCGCACTACATGGGCGTAAATGCCTAGGGGCAGACGGCTCGCCATCATCACACAAACCTGAGTGAGTGTGCAGCCGACAGCCGAGGGTTGAAATGGCCTACAGCGCCATGCTGTCCTGTCACAGTGCTGTGCTCTTGTAGTATCATGGATGGCATTTGAGTATTTTAGTCCTGCTGCATCCCATACCAAAGTATCAGAATCAAGTATTGTCATGTTGCAGTATGACAGTTTTGCAGCACTCTGTTTCTGGGCAATATAGAATCATAGTTTGCAGTAGTGCAGCAGTACAGTAGTATCGAATTCTAGTAGTACACTGTTGCAGTACCATAGTGTTACAAGCTTGTAGTCTTAAAGTCATATAACATGCCAATATCATAGCGTTGTGGCATGCATTATCAGGACACTGTAATACAGTACATTCACAGCATCACAGCTTTACAGCAGTACAGTGTCATAGTATGACCTCACTATTGTTCTCGTGTTGTATTCTAGTAGCATAGCTTAATGTTCTTTTTTGCCCCTCACAGCGATGCTTTCGGCATTCTGCAGTCCTACATTTCGTTATAGTTCTTTGCACCATTGCATTTCGTACTATGACACTACAGTATCATAGTGTGATAGTACACTAGAATTACCTCTGATTGCTGGCATTGAAGCAATACAGTTTGAAGACTTATAAACACATTTTGCAAGAAGCCATGCAGTATTGCAGTGTTGTAGTATTCCTGTTTTATGTCATTATACATGACAACGTATCATCTTGCAACCTGCGATACTGTAAACGATGCACTTTGAGAACAGAGCTCGGCACGGACCACAGCTAAAGCTCTCAAACCCTAAACAAGAATAGCTAAGAAACCTCTAAACGTTCTGAGCCCGACAAACACCTCCAGACGCTAAGCCCTAAGCGCAGAGAGAAGTCAGTCAAGCATCATTGTTTATAGTCGGTCAGAACGCCCCGATGGTCCTTCAGACGATGAGGCTACCACCGAAGCGTTTCCAGACTTAGGGTTAGGTTTTTTTCGCACCCATCTTACCTTCACGGCAGCATGCAGGACAACCCACAAGAATGTCACACGATCTCTCGTCTCAAAAGGGAAATAGTGAGGGCCATTCCAGGGAGCCCGCGACACCCGGCAGGGTTTTAGGGTTTCGGGTTCAGGGTTAGGGTTGCAGGCGAAACCCCAATATCTTTCCATCTATCTACTGGTCCTTGCTTCATTAGCACCAAACTGGTAATCTAGCGCCACACTGGGTCTTCATCGGTGTGACACGGGGCCCCGCCTTAGACTAAAAACGGCTACTGCAAAAACATGATGGCCGCCTTCATCTTCAAGCCCTAACCGCGTTTTGACAATTTGCGATGCCCCCACAACCCACAACATTCCATGACTCTGTCGTCCTTCTGATCAGCGCAACGCGCGTCCTTCACCCGGCGCAGTTCCTTTCTTCAGAACATGGGAGACAAGACGCTACTTAGGCTAAGGCTAAGGACCTGAAGTTTTGGAGTATATGAGGGTCGCTAAAGTTGAAAATTCCCACTGTGCTATATACTATACACCTAGTCCTGAATGTCAATCATGCACGCAACGCGTGCTTGAGCGCATTCGGGGCTGGGGTTTGCGGACATGATGCCACTGAGACCTGACCCTGAATCACTCCCTAAACACAAAACCCCGTCTTGGTTTACTGACGAGCAATAACACGATGATGGTGATAAGATCAGCTACCTTCCAGTAGTAGTGCTATCTAGTATGGCTCTGGGTGTAGGATACCGAACAGAAACGTTCAGATTAGTCTTGGCTGCAAACAACTCCTTAGAGACCAAGGTGAAAACGTTTTGGGTGACATCCACAATGTTGTCGGCGCAACGCCAAGCAGAACCCAACAACCTAGACAAGACACCCGAATCCCTAGACCGGAATGTCCATGTTTGTAGCAGTAACCGCAAAGCCCATCGAAGTCCTCGTAGCGATCCCTTGAAGTAACGTCAAAAGCATCTCAAACACACAGCGATTCCACATGCCGAACCTCTCCGCCTAGCAACCATAATACCATAATACGATACTAGAATACTTTGCTACTATACAAATACAAAAGTTTTAGTCAAGCTTCGGGGTGCTGATCGAGGCGATGAAGGCGCAGGCGCTGTCCACGTGTGATGTTGCCAGTGAGGACCTGCGCAGTTGCACGGAGGGAGAAACAAAAATGGTAGGCATTCTGCCAACAGTACTAACAACAACAGCAACCAACGGCAAACAAGAAGTTGTAACAACAGCAGTAAAGGTCACAACACTGAGACAAGATATCCGTGCTTTTCGCCACTGTGACGGCGACTCCGCAATTTCACCACTACGTGAGCCATTCCAAAAACAATGTGTTTCGCGGGTCAACAACCGTTCTAGCCTGCATTGAGCAATTGGATGATGGAATTATCCTGTCTCGCTGGCACAGCCTCTCGAGTCCTATGTCTCGAGAAGAAAATGCCGAGTTTCGTAGCCCTTCCAAGCTTTCTGCACAACTCGGACATATTCATACGTTCTTGCGTACGCGGGATGTCTTGGTTTGGAGGCCTGAGACTGCCAGTGTCCCTGGGGCTTGCGGCAACAAAACTTGGTGCCGGATCTGGACGGAGATCTGTCAGAATCTCCCTACGCAACTTTTCGCGATGAGGCATCACGCGTGCTCGGGTCCTGACGACCCGTTCATGGAATGAAGCTGCTGAGCTGTCCTCGATGTATGAACCGGATGTTGTCTCCAACGGGACATTCGAGGACTGGGGCCTCGGAACAACGACATTGACGCAGGGGCAGTGTCCAGGTGCTACGACCTGATGCAAGCACTGGGGGCCTGACTGGGACTCCCGAAGGTGCTGGAAGCACAAGTGCTACTGAGGCACTTGTGAAAAGTGTGCCCCTTTCTGAAGGGGGATTGAGTTGTATTTAGGCGCAGTGCAAGCTCAGTAATTGGGTGCACTCGGGGAACCGGATGGTCTAAAAGTACGATGGCACGATAGAACCTGTGCCGGCGAAGCAACAGGAAATGTCGCATAACAAGTTTGCGACCCTGGCGGGAGGCCATATCATTTGGCGGGTGTAAACTCCGCTACCAATTTGCAAACTGCATTTTGGCTTGATCTGCCCAGTCAGGGAGCAGTCGCTGCCCTAAACAGCAAAGGAGAATCAGAAGGCGGGGGGTGTGGAGACGGGGGGGTGTGGAGACGAGGGCGGAGATGCGGGCACTGCGCGCGGTGTGGCCGGGGCAGCAAGAGAACACAAGTCGACAAAGCAGAGGGGGGGGGGGGGGGGGTGTGTGGAGAAGGGGGGGGGGGGGGTTGAGGAAATGTATCTGCCCGATATGTCACCAGTGTCAGCTAGAGAAGAACTTTGTGTTCTGTTGGACGACTTTGTGTTCTGTTGGACGGCTTCGGAAAACCCTAACCCAAACAACAACACATTCAAGAAGGACGAATTACATGAGACTGTCAAGGTAGGGCATAAGGCAAGGCGCAGGCTTGTACCCTGCACAACCGCCAAACCCTGAACCCCAAGCTTCTGTGTGCCTCGTTCACCTTCTGCTCGAACTTGTCGGAGGCACCTGCTGGGCATTCAACATCACGAGGGAGCTTGGGCACTGATGACAACAGCAACAGGAGTAGCAACAAGAATTGTACTGTAAAATCGTCGTAACAGCAGTAACACCGTCATCGCCATAGTGAAAGTACAACACGTCTACTACTCCTCTTGCGACCACACATGTAGAGACTAGAAACCAATGCTTCTACGGCTAAGAGCATGATGAAAAACTTGCATGTATCGTTATTAGCGTTTTGCCACTACAAGTATGGCTCCTACTGTTGCTATCCCTTGATTTACATGAGACCCATCAGTACTGCGACACCAACTGTTCTTATAATGATTGCCCTGACCACCACACCCGTTACGATTCTTTTTGACTACTATTACACCAGAAGAATTTAACAGCGCATACAATTCTGGCAATCCTAAGCACTATCACAACGCTGTAATACTACTAGGGTAGTATTTCCAGAAGTTATCATAATCAAGAATACTATGACAATAGCCCAGTGCCCAAGGAAGTCCAGGGAACATTCTCGAAGCCTAATCCCTCAACTCTCGACATGGGGTTTGAGGTTTAGAATCAGGATCCCCCCACAGAACCCGAGAATACTGGCATACCTGTCAGAAAGACCCCTAACGAAGGACCAGTTTTTGAATTTTTGGGAAATCCAATACGGCCATGTTGGGCCTATTCCACACCCCCTCTGGTGCGGTCGCGCACGAAATCAGAGCGATGTTAAGAAGAACTGGAGCTTGAGTCTAAACCCTACAACCCTAAACCCTCAACTCTAAAACGTCCTAAAGAGCCCCAAATAGCACAGAAGGCCTTGGCTGGACAGCTCCTGGAGGTGAGCAACGAAGTGGTGGCCCAGCCGGTTCTCTTTGGTGTGCAGAGCCAGAACCTTCCATGGATCTGCCCTGGGTTCATTTTTATACAGTAAACCTGCAAAGACACTGCACGTGAAAAAATGCTTGGAGTTCATTGGATTCTATTTAGGGGCCTTCCGAGGAAAACGTGATTGTGTCTTCCTGCAACAACACTCGTGAAGATGAAAGGAACAAGGAGCGATGAACACAAAAAAAGTGCTAGTTCCAGTAGTCGTACTGACAGTAGCATCACTAATGTGATTCTTGATGCTGCTACCACCACCACAAACCCTACATTGCCACCACCACCACGACTACGATTACTGCTGCTCTATACTCCTGCAGCAACGGCGAAAGTGACAGTCATTCGTAGTACTTGTAGTGCTAGGCATCGGAAATGTTTGCTACTTGTCGTCGCTGCCGCTACCGTTGCGACCCTGCGAATTTAGTAAATGACCGTTCCCACTACTCCAAAGAATAGTGCGCACTGCATTATCCGCCGACCCCAGCAACAGCGGGGCGGCGTCAGTGAAGACCCTCTGTTTGTTTCCCCCCGCCACACCCCACCGATTAGAAACCCACCCCTCCCCCAACCCCTCCCCCCCAAACCCCCCACCCCCCCCCTGCCCTACCCCACCCCCCCCCTCCGCCTAAACCCTCCCTCGGATGAGGCAATGATTTAAAGGCTCCAGCACACGCCCGCCCTCCCGGCCCCCCACCGTCCCCCCTACACCCGCCTCCCCTCGTCAACCCCCCCCCCCCCTCCACCCACTAACCCTCCTCTCCCCGCCCCCCCCCCCCACATTCCCTGCTTGCGACGCCCCCTCCCCCCTCCCCCTACCTCCCCCCCCCCTCCCCTCACACGCCCTCCCCCCCCCCCCCCCCCCCCCCCCCCCCCCCCCCCTGCCCTACCCCACCTGCTGCCGACCCCCCCCTCCGCCTTCCAGGGCCCTCCCCGCCCTCCCCCTTCCCACCCCCTCCCCCACCCCCCCCCTACCCCTCCCCACACCCCGCCTCCACCCCCCACCCCCCCACCCCTCCCTCCTCAACCCCAACCCCTGCCGACACCCCCCTTCCTCCGCCTATACCCTCCCTCGCCGATGAGGCAATGATTTAAAGGCTCCAGTACACGCCCCCCCCCCCCCCCCCCCCCCCCCCCCCCCCCCCCCCCCCCCCCCCCCCCCCCCCCCCCCCCCCCCCCCCCTC